TGAACTGGGCGCTGATCCCTTGATTGAAGTTGATGGAAAGTCACCCTTTCAGCTTGCTGCTCTGCTGGCATTTCCCAAATTCCTTCGACTCTTCTTGATTCAAGGCTATTCTCAGTCGAAAATCCCAGGCTTGTTCGGCGGTTTTGACGATCTGACTCTTTTAAAGATGACTCAGGAGCAGAAGGTCGGCAACCGAGATACGTTTTCCTTGCTCAGCCGACTGATTAGAAACGGCCCGAGATATAGTTCAGATGTCGAGGAAACACTTGCCATTTTCAAGGGGCAGAGAGAACTACTCGGTAACGCCGACTCAAGTACTGGATCATCTGGAGAAGCCCTGTGCATGCAAATTCGGCTTGGGAACCCTGATATCGTTGAGGCGTTACTAAAAATGGGTCATAATCCCTCCGGCTCGCCTGATAATCGACCCATGCGCGAAGCGATCCTGCTCAATGATGAGAGAGTGTTTCGACTGTTGAGAGACTATGGCTGCGATATCGAAAGTTACACTGAGTTGCCGGGTACGTTACTTCACGACTCGGCAACGAGACCGGCTTCATCTCCCCCTGGGACTGTCATAGCGGAAGAGCTCATAGCGTCCGGAGTTTCTGTTATGGATCATCCAGCAGGGACTAGACCGCCTGTTGTTGAAGCTATCTTACATGGATACTTTGACCTAGCGAATCTCCTCATACAGCATGGAGCGCAAATTGGCAGCCCATATCAGCTGGGGACCGACCTCCCGCGAATTTCCATTCTCAAGGAGCTACTTGAGCAAAGAACAGAGACGTCGCTGTCAATCCTTCAATCCCTGTTGAGACCAAACGACACAACAGCTGATCACGAGTCTATGCTCCGTCACGATGAGCAGTTTGACTTTATCGTGGATCATATTGGTGACGCCGAAGAACAAAAAAGCGCATGGATCATCCTTGCTACCTCGCCACCAGCACGCAAGAACGTAGTCGAAGCAGAAATCTACATGGCGCAAGTCCAATGCATGCTCTCAGAGAATTCGCCTTTCGCGACCAAAGAGTGCATAAACTTTGATCATCCAAAATTTGGTACCGCCTTGTGCCGAGCCGCTTTGTTCCAAAATCATTTCTTAGTCGGAAAGCTTCTTCTTAGCGGTGCTGATCCCAATATCAGATTCCGCCAAAACTTTGGACCAGCGCAGAGATACTTTGGCGACGGATCACCGATTAGTCTCGCGCTGGGTTGCTATGAAGTTGCTATTGAAGGGTGGAGTGAGACTGTGCCGGATACTATGCTGGAGGACATGCGAAGTGTCATTAATGAATTGGAGTCTATCCCGGACTATCCGGAGGAAGCGCTTACCCGAGGAGAGATACTCAGGAAGCGGCATGAGGATACATTACGGCTGCGAGATGACGGTTTGGCTATGCAATCGCAGATGGCTAATATGAACCTTGAGCAAGGGCCAGTTGATCTATCAAATATGAGCGCGGTGCAGGCGCCAGAACTGGAGGAGAGCCAGCGCGAGATGTTTCAGGCTACAGAGACAATTATTCGATGGATGTTTGATTCACAGCGATACGGAACAATTGGACGAGCAGAAATGGCCAGGATGGCAGAAGGCGAGAACGCATAGCCAGTCTATCAATAAACACTATCCGAATAAGTTAGTATACACACTGATATGCGCTGTTATCAGCCTATACCCCGATAAGAAACTTCGCGTGACCTATCGTAGCACTCACCCACCATCCCAACAAAAGATCCAGCTTCCTATCTCGACCACAATCTCAAAGAACTCGGTACTGCAAGATGCGGGGATGCACTTGTGGTTGCCACGTGAATTGCTTCTGCCGGGCTATCTCCTTAAAACAGAACCTGCACTGCAACCCATACGCGATCGGTTAAATGGTTGATATCTCGAATCGGTAGGATTTCCGTATGCGAGATATCGTCAGAGGGGTCGAGGTGCATATTCTTGGCTCAATTAGGAAAATACCTCGGTTCTGGTGTATATAACTACCTGTAAAGTGATTGAAAAGAGCTGGAATTCTTGATTTTGTGAACGTGATAGCTGAAAGGTATGCGACTGAATTGATGCAGACCGCTTTGGAAGCCACTTATCGCATCACCTTAAGCCACCCATGAAATTATGAGTAAATATTATAAATATAAAGACATGCGGCGTTTCGTATACATGACTTTCAAAGCGAAAACATTCGTTGACCCAATTTAATCGTGGTCATGATGTTCACCGCAACTTATCGCAATCTTTCATATGTGCTCCTGTTATACCTGAGCTTCACCACCTTCCTATTCCAGACAGTATCATGCCTCGCCGTCCCTTCACCTGAAGATGCCTCCAACGATAACACAAAGCGAGCTGATGACTCTGGTGATGTCTACTTGCTCGGTGTCGGCAAGGCTGACGTGACTGGCCCTGTCGTCGAGCTCAATCTTATGGGATACGCCGACCTCGGGCAGATAGGAACGGGCTTGCGTCAGCGCCTTTACTCTCGGGCTTTCATCGTGGGTAACCCGGATGAAACCAAAGAGCGGTTTGTCTACTTGGTCTTGGATACCCAGTCTGGTGATACTGCTGTTCGCAGAGGTATCCTTGAGGGCATTGCTGCTTTGGGATCGGACTACGCAGTGTACACGTCTGATAATGTTGCCGTTACTGGGACACATTCACACGCTGGACCAGCAGGCTGGAATAACTATCTCATGCCTCAGATCTCTGCTCTGGGATTCAATCAGCAGGCATACCAGGCCATCGTTGACGGTGCTGTCCTTTCAATCAAGCGGGCGCATGAAAGTCTTGCCAAGGGGCGTCTAAGCGTAGGCAAGATTCGCATCGAAGACGTCAACATCAATCGAAGCCTTTATGCATACCAAGCTAACCCAAAGTCTGAGCGGGACAAGTACCAGGATGAGGTTGACAAGGAATTGACCATGCTCAAATTCACTCGCGACTCAGACAACAAAGTCACTGGAGTGTTAACATGGTTCTCGGTTCACGGTACAAGTCTTTACATGAACAACACTCTTGTTGCTGGCGATAACAAGGGTGTGAGTGCCTATCTTCTGGAGCAAGCTGTTCGTGGAACCAACGGAGCGACTGATGATTTCGTGGCCGGCTTTTCACAAGCTGCCGTCGCTGATACCACGCCAAATGTCGAAGGGGCCTGGTGTGAGGATGGTTCAGGAAAGCAGTGCGACTTCAAGGATGCGACTTGTGGTGGCAAGATAGAGACTTGTCACGGAAGAGGACCTTTCTGGGGTTTGAATGACGGAGGCACCAAGTCATGCTGGGAAATTGGTCGTAGGGTCTTCAAGCAGGCTGATAAGTTGTACAGTCAGATGCAAGGCGGCGATGGTGTTGCGGTTACGGGAAAGAGTGTTCTTGGATATCACTCATTCCAGGACTTTTCCGACTTCACCTTTCAGCTACCCAATGGCACATCAGCAAAGACATGTGCAGCGGCCTTCGGATACTCTTTCGCCGCTGGAACTACCGACGGTCCTGGGTACTTCGACTTCAAGCAGGGTGATTCCGGTGAACCTGATGCCAGTCCCTTCTGGGCTCTTGTATCAAAGTTCTTGCGCAACCCTACCAAGGAGCAAGTCGAATGTCAGTCACCCAAGCCTATCCTCATTGACGCTGGCGAGATCACACTGCCTTATGCTTGGGCTCCCAACATTGTGGATATCCAGATGCTTCGTGTCGGTAATTTCTTCATTATCGTTTCAGCACCTGAGCTGACGACTATGTCTTCACGACGTTGGCGCAAGAGTATCAGTGATGAGATCAAGGATAGAGGTGGTGTTGGAGGTGATCCTATTGTTGTGGCTGGTGGACCTGGCAATACATACGCTCATTACTGTACGACACCTGAAGAGTATGATGTGCAGCGCTACGAAGGTGGCTCAACAGTCCATGGCAGACATAGTCTGGACGCTTACATCAACCTGACATCAACCTATCTCGGATACCTCCTCCAGGAAAAGGGCGCTTCGAAGCCGCCTGCTGGTCCAGCTGCGCCTGATAATCGGAAGAACTCCATTTCTCTCACCACAGGCGTTGTTTACGACAACCCCAAGATCGGCACTAAGTTTGGCGACGTTATCAAAGACGTGAGCAAGTCAAAGTTTGCAGTTGGCGATACTATCAGCGCTACATTCGTGGGAGCCAATCCACGTAACAATCTTCACCTAGAGGATACTTATGCGGCAGTTGAGAAGAAGGACGGATCTAAGTGGGTTCAAGTTCGGACTGACGAAGATTGGGATCTTGTTTTTGAGTGGAAGAGGCTTGATGGGCTTCTTGGATCTAGTGAGGTTTCTATCACTTGGGAGACGGGATGGCAGGATGCGAAGGATATCGGTTCTGGGACATACAGATTGAGCTATTATGGAGATAGCAAGGCTCCCATCACGGGTAAGATTAATTCTTTTACGGGTAGGAGTAGTGAGTTCACTATTTCTTAGATGTCTTCGTCAGTATGCAATTAGGCCACATCAATCCCAAGATACTTTACTCTTTCTCAAGTAGATCTACATCTTGATCATCCAGTGTGCTTGGCGAGGCTTGTATACCCATTGAACTGCAGATCGAGAGTATGGATGGACCCTACAATGCACTCCATTTTAATAATATCGAGGTTGCTAAATGAAATCTACGAGGCATCTAGTTTTCCAAACATGGAAGACTATTTTATTTTTCCAGTCAATTGGATACTCATCACTCCTGTAATCGATGCGGCAGATGGATAATCACTCGGAAGCCGAGATGAGGGGCAACATTATGCAGACCATATCAGACCACTGACCCATGTCGTAGCCACGTACGCATCTGCATGTTGGTTACTGTTAATTCAAGAGAGCCAGTGATATTGGTTCTTATTTCTTCGCTTGAAAAGCATGATGCATCCTACTTACCCAACCATCTGCCATTTCGACCTGCGGATTCCTCCATCTTCACTTATCCCGCATTGAGCGATTTTCAGGTCATCAACATGAACATGTCGACTGTAGATGCAGATCCAGTTCTTCATCCTGATGAGCAGGTAAGAGAATATGTCGTGTATCAAAAGTCAAACACTGAATGATATCAGATCAATGACGATGCCGACTCGTCGATTGAAACTGTATGCAGCTGAATTATCCACATCAAAGGACTCGACTGACAGGTGATAGGATGCCGCTTCATCAACAACGAGCATCTCAAGTTCCATCTTAAACTATCGGCATGAGAACGGTAGAACTTATCATCGCTACAAAGACGGAAGTGAGAAGCATTGCCTACCTCAATTGCCGATTTCTAACAACTTCGCTAGAATATCATCTTCCAAATGACCAGGTCGAAAATGAGCGTCTCGGTATGGTAACACGACTATGTTTAAGCATGTTACTAACAGGCCAGACCTCCAACATAACCTTTTCCTCCTAACATTTGGAGACAAACTAGGTCTTGCTCCGCCCAATGACCCCGGTGCAAAGGTTGGACGCGTACTCGACGTAGGAACGGGAACTGGAATATGGGCCATTGACTACGCTGATGAGCATCCAGAAGCTGAGGTAGATCTCTTACCGGCCAATCCTACTAGAGCCTCTACTTACTGCATAGGTCATTGGGGTTGACCTCTCGCCAATTCAACCAGCTTTGTGAGTAACCCCAAGGTCATATTTCTTCCGCTAACATCTCCAGTGTCCCGCCAAACCTTCGTTTCATTATTGATAATATTGACGAAGACTGGGAATATGGTCAGCGATTTGACTATATCCATAGTAGAATGATGGTCTTTAGTATTAAGAATTGGGAGGACTACATCCGCAAGATCTTCAAGCATGTCTTCAACCTCCACTCTCTTCCATAAGACTAACCTGTGTAGCAATGTCAAGCCTGGTGGCTACGTTGAGTTTCAAGAGACTGGAGGTATAATTCTCTCCGACGACGGGACTCTTACCCCGGATCACGCCCTCTCGAAATGGTGTAACCTCCTCGGGGAGGCCTTTACTAAGCTCGGGAGTACGTCTATCGAGTTCGACAAGATCAAAGCTATTATGCAAGAAGTCGGTTTTGTCGATGTCGTCGACAAAAGATTCAAGTGGCCTACCAATCCGTGGCCTCGAGATAAGAAGCATAAAGAGTTGGGAACGTGGAATCATTATAATTCTTCGAACGCTTTGGAGTCGTTGACCATGGCGTCGTTTTCGAGGGCTCACGGATGGTCGCGAAATGAGGTTATTATATTCCTTGTTGATGTGAGGAAGGATCTGAATAATCCCAGTGTTCATGCTTATAATCCCATGTAAGTATCACTGGTGTTAATAGGGGCTCGGGACTAACGATTGGAAGATGTTCCATCTATGGAAGGAAACCCGATGTTTAAGATGGGCAAGGGCTGAGTTGGGACCCCAGGTTTGCGTTCTGAATGCCCTCCTGAGGTACTTGACAGGTTTTAGAGACTTCGAACCATTCTTTGTTAATAACTACATATTGACACAGGGACTAGCATAGGAAATCAACTAAGCAGATAGTATTAGAGTATTCACTGACCTGACTGCTTATTTTAAGGCTGCTGTTCTTGCTTTATTTTCCTACTTACTCTTATTATAATAATAACTCCATTCTCACGGCCCCCTCCGACTGTTCTACAGCTTCCGCCTCTAAGTCTTCCACCTGTCTCCTTTCTGGCACATTTTCCCTTTTAATAGTAGTAAACGTGATACTAGGTTCCTTGCACCCCGAATCGACCGAATTGCTCTTAGGCATGCAGGCAGACTCGCTGACGTCAATCGCAAGCCCAGAGTCTTCCACCGAAGGTTGTGGAATAGCCGCTGTCGTCCCGGTCCAATCATGGCCGCTTAGGTGCTCGTCGAGCTGTCGGAACAGCTGCGTGGCGCTCAGAGCCCCGGCTCTTGCACCAAACCTCCTCCATATGTCTTTCCTCTTTAGCAATTCGAGGGCCCCTACTGCAAGCCATAGAAGCGCCAACAGGGTCGGTGCTATGATTAGCAGGTCGAGTCTCATCGCCACCGCTTCGTCGGTGCGGACCACGAAATCCCTCGCACCGTCAAGGAGCTTCCCAACGGCAGCGTCCAGGATGCTCGGTGAGTTTGGAGACGGCCGGGGCATCAGAACGATTTCCTGGAAGATCTGCCGCGACGAGAGGTAGCTGGCAAGGATCAAGCGCGTCATGTCCCCAACGAGAGAGCTGGCGCCGGCATCGATGTAGGCGCCACTAGCCGATCCGACGTACGTCTTAACTGTAGCCACGCCGGCAGCCATGCTAACATGCGTCATCATCGGGTAGGCAAAGCGCGTTTTGTCGATGTCAGGATGCAACCAAGTAACAAAGTCGAGCCGGTACGATGGACTGAGCTCTGTAGCCACCGAAAATGACTGGTTTGTCTCTTTTTCTCCCCAGGGGTAGTAGGTGTCCCAAGTGTAGCCAACGGGACTTTTCCTCCTGGTCGCCCAAGAGTAGTCCATTCGACAGCTCCCCGACACCTTCATGACGAGGTCGGCAAAGTTCTGCAGGGCGAAGTACTGCGCGTTGATCTCGTGTACTGCAGATTGGCGCTGGAAACACTCGGCCAAGTGTATAGTAGTGGCGAGTATCGGTAGCCTATGATCAGGGTGGCGTTGGGCTGCTAATCAGTAGTGATGCAGAAATGATAAAGGCTAGAATTTGAAGGCCAGATGGAAGGGCCAGGGTCCTGGTGGGGGGGCCTGTCAGAGCTGAGAATGGGAAGGGAATATAGATTATTTTGTGGGCGAAATCTTATGTTTTACTAGTTGTTAATATTTCTAGATGGCAACTCTAAGATATTCATGTAATTATTGGTACTTTTATATTAAGACCTCTCTATCTTAAGAAATTATAGCAAAGCTTGGGAGGTTTTACTTAATATAAGAAAGCAACCGATAGTGCATTCTGCCTATTATAGCTTTCTTATAATAACAGTCTTACATCTGGTAGGATATTGCCTTTTATGTATAAGCACACACCGCTTGCAAAATGCTTAAACTTTAACAGAATTAAGAACTTGAGAGGTTAGTAAAGACATTGTTAAATCAGTGCCGTTGGAAGTGACGTGTGAGGATGATATACACGCATCAGCTACCGAAACAAGCTAGCGGCAGAAAAAACAATACACGCCCGGTATTCATACTTATCGCCCCCCACTGTACATATCGCTTTGTCCACATCAAATGAGATCCTGTCCGAACGCTCCACATCGGCTCTGGCACGGCTATGAGCTTGTGCGGTTAGTTTATCTCCATCAGCCCGAACTAAGCAATACTTAGGCACAAGTGGAGCGCAGACCGGATATGAAATCAACCCCGAACCCGATTTCCATAGTATATCTCAATACCGATGCCGAAAGATCCCGAATCGGCGCACTTGGACCATTAATTAGTTTAAGTTTACAAAACCCAGATCTGAAATGCTAACCGGGCCGAATCTTCTTTTACCTTATTCCCGTAATTCATTCCCTGGCAAAGTGAAATCAAAATATGGGGACCAGTAATGCTCTTTTCTTTATTAACTGCCGATATTGTAGAGATGAGAGCTTGTAGACAAGTACTTTATATATTGCGAGTTTTGGATGATTCAAATCTGAGAATAGGCATAGCAATTTCCTTGCCCTCAAACTTATTTTTTACTGTCGTAGCTCATAAAGGGTCAACAAGCTTTCTTTTCCATGTTAGTCCAAACATCTACCTCTGAGGGCCCTTCTCACCCAGAAGGCGCCCGAGCGACTGGCGCACTTGACAGCAGTTCGTCTGCGACAACAATCGAATGGACCGACCGAGATGCTGATCATCCGTATAATATGAGTTCTGGGAGAAAATGGATAATAGTCATTGTAATCTCATTCAGCTCCCTTTGCGTGTAAGTGAATACCTGTATCGAAGATTAAGAGCTGATCTCGATGCGGGTGAGACAGTACTTGTGCTTCGTCTATCTATTCAACAACCTATAGCCAAATCATGATCGAATTCCATACTTCTCACGAGCTAGCAACGCTTGGTCTTTCACTTTATATCTGGGGAATGGGTAAGATAAGCACTTCAGGTATTGGAATTAGCCCACGGCTTACCCTTGCCTTTTATAGGCGTTGGTCCATTGGTATTAGGCCCACTGTCCGAGGTAAGATATGCAGAATTCTCTCTCTTATAAATACTAATTCTCTTGATAGCTCTATGGTAGGAGAGTTATTTATCTTTGGTCACTTCTTTTCTTTTTTATCTGGATCTTCCCAGGCGCCTTCGCGAATAACATCCACACGCTCCTAATGGGTCGCTTCCTTTCCGGATTCTCAGGAAGCGCGTTTCTTAGTGTTGCTGGGGGCACAGTTGGAGATATTTTCCCTCGAAATCAGCTAGCGTTTCCCATGATGGTATATACTGCCAGTCCGTTTATCGGGCCTGAGATCGGACCTCTGTAAGTGCAAAGCAGTCTAAATGTTTTATAAATGATAGCAAAGGCTCATAAGTCCTTAAAAGTTTAGGTGGGTTTATTAACCAATACACTAACTGGTATATATAAAAATAATGAGATTAAACAATAGGATTCGAGGCTGAATTTAAATAGGCGCTGGACATTTTATATATTACTCTGCTGGGCAGCTACCATGTTGCTTCTTGTACACTTGTTGGTGCCAGAAACCTATCAATCAGTGTAAGTCTGGGCAACCCGTATTATATATCTAGAAGTAAACTGACATAATTGATAGTCTCGTAAAACGCAAGGCACAACGAATACGAGAAGAAACCCGGAGTTCGGAAGCAAGGGTACCAAATGAAAAGGACACCTCTCCACTCTGGATAATGATACTACGGTCCATCTACAGGCCTATAATGCTCCTAACTCTGGAGCCCATGTGTCTGAGCCTATGCATATACTCTGCACTTTTACTTGGAATTATCTACCTCTTTTTCGGTGCATTCCAATTAGTTTTCGAGTCTGTTTATGGGTTCCAGTTATGGCAGCGTGGACTTTCATTCACAGGGCTCTTGGTTGGAATGATCCTCGCTATACTCTCAGACCCTTTTTGGCGATGGCATTACCGTCGTCTAGAAGGACGGGTGTTGGATCTAACCAGTCCAGACTCCGATTCCATGCCAGAGTGGAGACTGCCCCCAGGTATCTATTTACCCTTCTGCCTTCATGTGACTTTCCAGAAGCTAAATATCCCAATTGGCTTACAGTCATAGTCGGGGCTCCATTGGTCACTGTCGGGCTCTTCATGTTTGCTTGAACAGCCTATCCCAGCATCCACTGGGTTGTACCGATCATTGGAAGCGCTTTATTCGGTGCAGGGTGAGTGTTTCATAAGGAGAACAATGATTTCAAGTCACCCGTACTCTTGACCAGGCTTGAACTTATAGATATTGACGAATCTCTCCTGTCTAGGACTATTCTTGCCTTTTCGGGTATATTCACGTTTCTTGTGGATGCCTATCCCAAATACGCGGCAAGTGCTTTGGCCGCAAACAGCTTTGCCCGATCGACCTTCGGAGGTGTGTTCCCATTATTCGGTGTGCAGAGTAAGTTTGAGGTCCATAAACATGCCCTTATTCGACAAGTATCTAATTGCGTTTGCACACAAGTGTACAATAGATTGGGTATACAGTGGGCGACATGCCTGCTCGGATTCTTGACATTGGCAATGCTGCCCTTTCCGTAAGCAAGTGCCTTTTAAATCGCAGCCAAACGTAAAGCTGATTAAACCAAGGTATATATTTTTTAGATATGGGGCACAAATCCGAAAGGGAAGCCGCTTCTCCAAATGAACAAACTTGTCACATAGAATGATCTATCATGGATTTATGGAATATATCAGTAGAAACCCTTTTTTTCTGTCAGCTGTTCAATGAGTGTCTCGCCTTGTACATCCTTGAAATTAAGACTATAATAAATATAGTGGTCTCTCTTTCTTGATACCTATAAATAACTAACTTATTGCTCCAATCCTCCTACTTTTTATATTTTATAACATTTCATCATAACGGAACCCGTGCCTGCAGCCCCATAATTAGTCACGGTTAGGATCGCATGGCAATTGATTGTAGCACTTATCCAATTGAAAGAAGAATTCCATCGAAGAACATACTGTTCATCCTTATGAATCCCAGCTTGTTTAACTTCAAAGAGCCCTTTGTTTATTGGCTAAGTAATTGTGTGTGGCGGTGCTACCATTCTAAGAGTGAGCTACAACATGCTCCAGTAGGCTACCCGGCATTTTGGCTACCTGTCCTCACGTTGTTTGCCGTCTTTTGTTCTTTATGTTGGCAACTGTGTATGACAGCTTTATGAATTGGGCTTAACGAATGTATTAACGGAGGCTGCTTTGCTCTTATACCTGGTAGTTCCCTACTTCTGCCCCCTGGCCTTTCGGGCTGCTTGATTAGCCACGCCATGACTCTGTGTCCGAAAGCCTAACGATCGCTGGATGAAACTAACCCGGATAGATAAACCTAGCCTGAATCTCGAACGTAATTGCAGTCACTTTTATCATTTTCAGACGGGGAAACTATGATTCATATTTACAGAACCCGGTAAATTTTTACTGTTCTCATGTAATTTACAGTAAACTAGTTGGCAGGGATAACAGGCAACTCGACATAATTGACATAATCGTTGCCGAAGTGAAGATGGTTTTGGCCTTTGAAGACATCTTCCGACCTTCAAGTAAGTCAGTAAATACAAGAAAAATAGGCTCGTAACGTGGCCCGGCAAAGAATTGTCATACCGGTCAATAGGGTCGTCGTGGCACCAAAGTCCAACACCTTGAGTGTCTCCAGAGCTCACCTCCAAAACCAATCGACACCCAGGTTCAATGACCACATTCGTCGGCCAAATCTCCACGTCAACGGGATAAACCTCGTTAGGAATAACAGGCTGAACATCGGTAGAGCAATATTCTCGGTATGGCAGCCAGGAGCGATGACGGGGATGCTGTGGGTTGACTTTCCTGAGGGAAACTCGTAGCCAGCCCTTGGTCAAAGGAACAGGCTCCCCAAGAGAGCCAGTGTAAGAGATCTCGTCGCCTGAAGGTGACAGCAGGCGCAAGGAGAGGAATAAATCCAAATCAGATGGTGAACTTCCCCAAGGATCTCTGCTAGAAGAGACATTCAGGTGGGCCACAATATGACCAGTGATTTCGGTCTCTGACTCAAAGGGTGCCGACGTAAATCTCAAGATGTCTGCTGGTTCTCCTTTACCGAGAGCGTTGTAAGTCTTCTTACTCGGGAGCTGTGCTTTCGGTTGGTCCTGTTGAAGTGTATTTTCTGGCGTTAGATGAAATTGGGTATATTGAGTCCGAGCAATTGGCCATTCGTTCTCTTGTCGACGAAGAAACCCTTTCTCAGCGTGCGGATCGTTGTATCCAACATTACCCTTGCGAAGAACAAGATCAACTGGTGGCATAGCCCCCTTTTTGGTCCACCCTTCGCGATCATCGCCTTTAAGCCAAGCATCAAGAAAGCTCTTTTGAACTTGGACTTCTTCGGGATAATAGAATGGCAAATCGTGACGTCCCACGATGAATCGAAGATATTTAAAGCTGGAGCCTGCCCAAAGATACCCAAGCAAGTTTCCTCGCAAATGAAGCGAGCTCCCGCCTAGATTAGCGACGCTCAACAAGGGGACCGTGACATCCTCAATATTAAAATTGACGGAAGCTATGCCTTTGTCATCTCGGAATCGCTGCTCGTGGTACATACCCTTGTGTCGATTGGCATCCAGCTCCTCCGGGGTTAGATCACCTTCAACCGTGTCCGGACCCCAGTTGCGCGCTTTTCGTCCGGGTAATCCATACTGGTTCGGAGCAACCTGACGGGAATACCACAAGGCAAGGAATTTGTTTGACAGGATGCCACCATGTCGCAACGATTCTCTGTACAAGTCCGAGAATCCCTCCCATGGCACGATAGCTGCAAGACCTTTAGGTCGTAGGCTCGCCACATGCCACTGTGCAGCAGCATAGTAGCTAACACCGAGCAGGCCTACCTTGCCCGAAGACCAGTGTTGCTCGGCAGCCCACTCGATGAGGTCACGGAACCCGTCAATCGAATCTGCGGATGTCACGTTCAACAGACCGGGAGACTGGCCAATGCCGATCTCGTCTGCCCGAATGACGATATACCCGTGACTAGTCCAAAATTGAGGTGTTGGAGTTTCCCATGCAGAGTGGTCTGTTTGATGGGTCGGGTGTATTTCAGAAAAGCTTTTTGGGTTGAAACTGTTTCGGTTAGAATTAGTGGCACTCCATATTTCGTGAGCAGGTCCGGTCGCTTACTCTTTGTAAGGGACATCTTTGCCGTACGGGCCGTAAGTCATAATTACGGGGCATCTCATGTCCGCTGAAGCTGCTTTAGGCTTGTAAATGTTGCAGCGAATGACGCCACCGTTGCCCAAGGGCACCGATACATTCTGTTCGAAAATATAAGAATAGGATTCTGAGTCAACAGTTTTGATGTCGCGATATTGGGCTGCCATGTTGATCTTGAACTTGAACGTAGCTGATGTTGAAAGATGAGCCTCTCAAAAGGTTGTCGTGTTGGGTTAAATAGAAAGTTCGTACCTCGCGTTTGGTTCCGGGCCGAATCACACCGGCCCGAATGACTCGTACGCCACCCAATCTTGATGTGCTCTCGTGAGGTCCACGGTCTAAATTAATAGCCGGATCGCGCAGTACAGATGATCTAGATGTTTTATAGTATTATAGCTGAGGCACTTGACAACTACCTAGCTAAAGCTCTTCCAGCCTTGTCTAAAAAGATTAGACGCTTCAAGTCCCTCGAATCCTTCAATTCCAACTTCCGCGAAGGACACGTCGTACCATTCAAAGTCCAGCCCTTCATCCATCTGGCTTGTTAAGTAGCCGTCCGGTAGTATATCTAGTTCATTGCTTTCATCGCTTATATTCAAGGGCCTTGTGTTCTCGGCGTAGTCCTCCTCGTTGGTATCCGGCATTGGTGACTGTAGATGCCCGTTCGCTAAATCTATAGCTGTACTTAATCCTTCTGCTGGCAATGACTGGTGGTTATCGTTTGTATGCCGCAACAGTTCATCTAAATAGCATTTAGTTTAACAAGCGTTATTGGCAAACCAAATAAACAAGTGGGTATGTTACCGTTGCCTGGGTCGATCAACCTGGGTGGCTTGCTGAGCGCTAAATGAGCCGCTTCCAAAGCAGAACGCAGTACCTCAGCCTACACACAGTCGATCAGATCACTCCACAAGGGAGGCCGCCACATTAGGAGTTGGAGACTCACAGGATACTGCAAAGCTCTCCAGTAAGCTTTAATGGTATCTAACAAGTGTAAGATAGCATGTACTGTGGCCAGGCGGCGGTCTTTTCTGCTAGTGTTGAAAGGCAGTTCGCTGGCGGGTTGGGTATGATAACGGACTTCTGTAGACAGGAATATTATACCCACTACAAAGGCCCCGTAGCCAACAAGAGGAGGTATGCGTGAAACATCTTGTTTATCATACAGATGAGGACCCAATAGGCACTCAAACTGGTCTGCATGATGAATCACAGTCTGTGCAGCACTTCTCCGGGTTTCGGTGTCGATTTTCTCGTCAGCTGGAATGCCAGAGAATAGGGGAACAATCGTAGAGTGTAAGGCGATCTGAATTTGGTGGTACACCGAATCATGCAGGAAAAGCATCATTTGGCTTTCGGTCGTCTGATCGCCTTGATGGGCAGAAGTTCTCACCTCAGCAGCATCATCGAAAATTGACGTCGCTAGCTGCGATAATTGGCGTAACGAGTTGAGACCACTATGAGCTCTATTAACATAGGCCTTGCAGTGCAGCTGCACCTTCGCCCTAGAAAACATGGCAATTCAATTCAGTGACGTTCTGTTATTACACGGCGGAATCAGATAGTGCAAAATGGTCTTACCAAATACCAATGATCTTGATCAGCAACCCTGGAGTTGTAGGAGGGTACAAGTTTTCGGATAGGTTTCGCACAGGAAGCGCGTTCCAGTCTTTATCCATCATCTGATTGAACGATCCAGAGACTAAACATGGCAGTGGTAGCATAGCAGCCTCTTTCCAAGCTGATTCAATATATGGCTCCGGTTGCATGACAATGCATGTGGATATCCAGCAAGCCCAGAAGCATCGGCGTCCAAGCTCGGCCTCGAGTGAAGTACAAGAATCATTCTCATCCGCAGGCCTTCTGTCATATCCAAGTATTTTGCAGGACCGGTAGGCAAGAGCTATTGACTTGTTAACCTGGGTCTCAACAAGTAAATCGTGACATCACTCTTCATAGGATATCAACTTACCAAGGCATAGGTTTCCAGGGTGGGGCTGACCTATTCCAAACCAAAACAGCTGTATACATTCCAAGGCTTGTACTGCCATGAGAGACGGGGAGTGCATAGCTAACGACATGACTTCTTCCAAGGCAGATTTTGCCCATGAGAGCCCACATGGGCGATATATGCGGAGAATCTTCAGCTCCGTATTATTATTTTGTTCATTTTCATTATCTATTGGATGAAGAAATCTTGATCATTTCGTTAGCCGAGATCTCGGGGCAGAGTTACTGCTGGTTGCAACAGCTTGAACATACAAAGTTGCCAATGCGAACAGTGCCCTTATAAGAACGCTGTGTATTTTTCCTTCGAGATATTGCTGAAAGAGGAGGGGTTTGTAGAATAACAAGGATGCATTGTAAACGCGCGTAAAGTATACTTCTAATAAAGAAAGTCCAAGGGCAGTCGGGGGCAAAGGGGGCTGCGTTGAATCGGCGGCTGAATCTATCGCCACCGTTTTCATTCTACATAGCTGAGATGCATAAGACTAATATTCCAGAGTTAATAAAATAATATAAATAAAAATGATCTTGTTATCGCTGTGCTCACCTCATATGCGGTAAAGAAATCCGTGGAGAAGTCAGGAGCCTCTTTGCCTATCTGCGTTTGAGTTGGAGTAGCTATGCTTCCTCTAGAATGATAAAAAGGGCCCGATGGATTGGCAGTGATACTTTGATTAACGTGGTGTGAGCTGGAAGTTTGTTCTACAGTGGGTGATAGGTCTGGTAATGCCGACTTGTTGCGAGTTTGTTGAATGGCAACGTGCCCAGATTGGGAACCATCTCGGCTGCGCTCAGCCGTCTGCAGTGGTAACCTCTGTCTTCGCTTGGCTCGCGGGCCCCTCCGATTAGGAGGATCGGGGTACACACAGGTCGCGTTGAGTCGATCGCAACGAGTGCAGATAGGATGCTCACGGCCACATTTGAGCTGTAGAGGGGTATTTTTAGTTGATGGGTTCATTCAGGAACCAGTTGAAAAAACGGTTACCTTCTGATCGCGACATCTCAAGCACGCGGTGATTGATAAGCGCGGGAGATTGGTAGAAGTTCTCCTGCCGCTTTCTTGAAGATGAGTGGTCTGCATAATGTCCTTCAAGATTCGGTCTACTCGGAAACGGGATATCAGCAATGTTTATATCCCAGATTTTTTGTTGCTTGTTAATGAACTCCCGAATACCTTTCTCTGGGTTGTTGTCTTGTTAGGGGGTAATGATAAGAGTGTTATGACGCTGTGAAAATTTAGTTTAGTTATTAGGTGTCTATGTTAGCTAGGCTAGCAGGGTCCGGAGAATAGCCGATAGGCCATGAATTAGTATTAACCCGCTCTATAGGACCATATCTCTGAGTTACCTTAATATTTCTTAGTAAATCCTTATTAATAATTTAACTACAACCTTACTTATTTAATTATACTAATACTTAATTTTATATTATTATTTTCTTAAAGTTATTTAATATAGTAAAGTTTTTAAAATTATATAATTATAATTTAATTTAGAATAATATAGTATTGAATAAATAATAATTAAATAAGGCTTATATAAAATAAATAATAAGTAATTTTAAATTAAAAGTAAAATATTAAGTATTTATAAGGATAAAGAGTTTATTACTTATATATCTTAATTTATATTCTTTACCTTTATATTTTAAGGCTAAAGCCTCTTTTAACCTTATTACCTTATTACAGCTCCCTTACTTATTCCTCCCTCCCTTCACACCAAGGACAAACAGCACCTTCTGGCAGAAATAAAAGGACTTGCCTCGGATGCGCCAGCCATTGCCTGGCTCGCCGGCAAGGGCCTGCTCTCGGCAATCCGTCTTCTCGACACGGGGCGTGGGGTGCTGGCGAGTTCTCTTTAAGATTTGCGAGTTAATATCTCAGCCTTTCAAGATAGGCACCCTGACTTGTCCCGCTCTTTTGTAACTCCTCGTGATCAGCTTGATGCACCTTTATTACAAGGTGGCGCTGACGCAGAAGCGACGGACCCCAATATTGGGACTGACCAGCGACATGAGGCTGTTAACAGAATGCCAGTCCTTCTTGGAGACATACGCAGTTGTCCTGGGATCGAGGACTTTCTTCTCCCGCCGTCAGAGGCTGAGCTGCGAGCTGCAGCGGCGCGAGGCCCTATAGTCATCCTCAATGTCAGTCGACATCGATGTGATGCCTTGATAGTAGAGCAAGCAGCCTTACGGGTAGTGAAGCTTCCTCAACTTTCTCCAAAGAAGAGACTTGCTCAAGCGCCCCATGTTCGATCCGTCGAAACGCTAGATTGGTTTTGGACGCTTTGGGCTTTTTTGAGACCCCTACTACCGATTCTTGGCCACATATTTGGTGGGAACCGACTGGATTGCTTGCCGGATTTCCTATTCACGCAGCAGGAAGACACCTGGAATGTAATTTCAGTGCCGTCCTTGACAGAATGGTGTCATCATACGGGTCATCCATCAAGGTCATCCATCAAGACCATCATACATAATCGCCAGAAACGGAATCCCCCAACGCCGATACGAGGCTCTCACAATGTTGTACTTGTTGCAATGCAGGATACGCCAGGACAGAAGAGCCTTCGGCATGCAAGTAGCAAAATAATTGCAGTGCAGGGTGTCTATGACCAGTTAGGTCTGCCGTGGATGAAACCTAAAGCTCAAAGAAGGGCAATCTTATCCGCTATCGAAAGCTGCATGATATTCCATTTTGCAGGACACGGCAAGCCACCTATTGCTTGAAGACTGGACACAGACCCTCTCACAGTGGCAAACCTACTCAAGACCAACTTGAGCTCCAAGTCGCCATTTTTTGCATATCTCTCAGCTTGTGGAACCGGCCAAGTTCGAGATAAGAAGTCACTAGATTAAAGTATTCGCCTTACCAGGGCCTTTCAAGTGGCAGATTTCTTTCACGTTAAAGGTACCTGGTGGGAGGTAAACGATAGACTATGCGTTACTATGTCGCAGTTATTCTATGGTTTTCTGCATAAGACAGGGATAAGCGATGATGCAATAAGTCATGGCCTTCACTTCGCAATCGGGCAGTTTCGGGACAACTGGGTACAAGGGTTGGGCTATGGCGAAAATGTAGTTAAAGATGCAGATATGGTGAGAGACGTGGTGACTTGTGACGACATAGAATTCCAGTATCCGCTTTGGGTTCCATATACTCACTATGGTGTTTAGACGTGGAGGGTAGCTTGTCCTGCTAGGAATCTTACCAACTATAGTATAAGATAATAATTTAAGGTTTCCTAATAAAGTAAAATCAATACCTAGCCTTTTGCCTTGTATTATATTTAATTTAGATTAGTATTTTAGGAAGTTCAATAACGCGGAATGTATAGGTAATTCCAAGTCTATTCGGAGCTAAATTCCTATTACTTAACATAACGGTCAAGAAAGTCAATTTGTACCTTTATGTTTTCCTTAAAATAGTCTCCTGTATAAAGATCAAAATGCCCACATCCATCCAGGTAGAGTAGTTGTTTAGGTTCTCGCGCCTTGTTGAAGGCATCCATTTGGGATGCCGTTCGTACCAAGACATCGTTGCCGGGAACAACAAACAAAAGTGGTGTTGGGGAGACTCTATGAATCATAGACTGGCCCTCAAAGCTGAGCATGTGCAGTTGGGTCTGCGAGGTGATGTAGTTCTCCCAGCGGCTTCCACAGGTCTTTTGGAGGCTCATTAGATCGTAGGCGTCCTTGGTGGGGAACATGGCGTTTGTTGTAGCTGGATCCGAAGACTCTCGATCAGCAGCAATCAGCGGCACGGTTGGTGGGTCTAATCCAGAGGTAATCTGACGCCGGTCCTCCAGCAAAGTTGGGATACGATCTTTGAATGCGAGTGATCTGACCTCGCCTGAAACAGCGGGGCACTGGATGATAGCAGCTTTGATCCGCTTATCGATTGCTGCAGCATAGATGACATTCCCACCAGAGAAGCTGCTACCCCAGTATACAATCTTATCCTTGTCGACACAAGGAATAGTGGCTGCAAAGTTGAATGCGTCGTAGTAGTCTGCTTGCTGTAACGGAGGGTTGGACTCCTGCCGAGGCAGACCACCGCTATCTCCCCAATTACGGTTGTCATACAACAGTACTACGTACCCTGCATCGTGGAAAGCTGACGCAAAGTTCGGCAGCAGGAAGTGGCGGGTTCCACCAAGCTGGATGAATATTACTCGTTAGACATCCTATAACCTAAGGCGCGATAACAGAGCGGAGGCTGTATAGTACTAACACCGTGGGTCATGATGATGCATGGCGAGGTCTCCGGTTGGGGGTACAGCCAGCCACGTAGTGTGATGCCATCACACGCTCGAAATTCGATGTCTCGTCGTGGGAGGCCCATGATTGAAATCGGGCACGGTATGTATGTCAAAAGCGTGGATGGAGGAGAACTTGAGAAGATATGCCAGTTCGTTAGGTATCGATGAATGAGCTGGTTGACTGCATGCAGGGTGCTTTTTCATAGGTAAATTCCTCTGAGCTACATCTCTATCTGAGAGGTCCTGATGACGTTGGAGAAGATAGCTATAACAGATTAATAATCTGCAGAGTTCCCTGGAAGGGATTTGTCAAACAACCCGTGCCGGGCTCGTGTGTCACCTCTCCCGATTGTTCGTGATAGCTTTTTGTTAGCCCTTGCTACTTGCTACATTAGAACTTTAATTTACAGTGGGAGAGTGGGGCTGCCGCGGCTTGTAGGTGGGTCTCCTCGGCTAGTCCACTTTAATCCCCAGGCAAAGACTAGCAGCCATCGTGTCGATCAGATGGTTGAGTCAGTTAGAGCATTCTCAAGATGCTTCAAGATTGGCTCTCCGGCCTTGGGCCAAGCTCAGCTTGAATATTGCTTCTGTCCCAGAATCGATTATTAAACATGTTTAATAATCGCAAGGCAAGTCATTGCCCATCTTTATACCTGTTCCGCGTGATGCGGACAAAAGGAAACACTTGGGAATAGCACACCACGTCACTGGAAGCACAGTTTTTGTCAATTTTCTAATAAATGAGATCACCATGTCATACCCCCAGGATGATCCATTTTCTACATATTTCGAGGCCATTCAATCTTTATCACATCAAAGATCAGCATTCGACTCTCAGTTCGGAATGGATACCATGAAAGCAGTTGGCGTGGCCAAATACGGCGGTGTTGATAATCTTGAATCTCGCAACGTTCCGCGACCAGGCAAACCTACTGGCCGCGATGTTCTCGTTAAGTGAATTTGACCCTGGCAAGCCTTACCTGTTGGCATCTAACCAGACCATCAGAGTCCAAGCGTGCTCTGTGAATCCGATCGATGTCAAAATCCGGGCAGGCATCTACGATGATGCTCCAGGTATAGCCACAATCCAGAACCTCACCCAAACGGCTTGTGTCTCATACTAATCAAGAGGAAGATTACTACGAGTTTGCACCAAAGGGTTTCCATATCATCGGATATGACGGTGCCGGAATTGTCTTACAGACTGGCCCCGAGTGCCAGTTCTTCAAGCCTGGCGACGAGATCTCGTATGTTGGTGCTTCAACGCGTCAAGGCAGTTACGCGGAGTACCAGCTAGTCAGTGAACTTCATTGTGCTTGTAAGCCCAAGTCTCTCGACTTTGTACAGGCTGCAAGCTTTGGCTTGACCTTTGGAACGGCCTACCAGTCTTTGCATCACCGTCTGGATATCAAGCCCAATGAGAACGTGGGAATTCTCATCGTGAGTTGGAATTCTTCTCGGCCGACCTGCGCGTCATCTTTCACCCTGGCTGACATATCACGCACCGATATAGATCAATGGTGCTGGAGGAGTTGGCAGTGCTGCTATCCAGCTGGCGCGCAATGTCTTGAATCTTCCTGTAGTCGTTACTACTGCATCTCGGCAAGAAACAATATCCTTTTGTAAAGAGATGGGTGCTACACATGTTATCAACCACCTAAAAGATCTCGTGGAACAAATCAAAGATCTCAGTTTAAGCGTTCCGATAAAGTATGCCATTACCCACTCCGTTCCAATTGCGGCCACTGCTTACTTGACCGAACAGGTACGCCTATATACTAGCCAGCACTGAGCAGTATATCCATGCTGTTGCTAAGATCTGCGCACCCTTTGGCAAAGTTTGCTCTATTGTCCAGGCTGATGTCAGCCTCTATGGGACCGACTTTATGTCAAAGTCGATGACTTTTGCATGGGATTGGCTAGGCTCAGCTGCCTATCATCGTACAAATGTTGAAGGCTACCATGAAATGCTTGGTACCCTATCCCGCCTTATGGATGAAAAGAAGCTAGTTCCTACTCTAGGCAAGCGGTACAAATTGACGCTTGCTGGGCTGAAGGAGGCTCACAGACAGATTGAGTCCAAGACGACGATAGGCAAGGTTGGGCTCGGGATCGATGAACCTGGCCAAGGGACTCCCTTTGCTTGAGATAATGATTAGGCCGCGTATAAACTCACCTGCCTGGTTTCTTAGTTTTGGGTTATGATTTACATAGTTATATGCTTACTGAGACAAACATTATACCAGAGCTTTCGTACATGGCTGTCCTCATTGTATATTCCGTTCTCAACTACTATCGCTATGGTCTGTCGCCGTGACAGAAACTTAGTGCTTCGCTGGAACATAACAGAGTGAAAGCGATTTGTTTAACTACTCTACGAATCCAAGACGATTCATTAACGGCTAAAATTGTGTCTAAAAACATGCAAAAGCTGATGTGACGGAGTGGAGTGGCCCTCTATCTAGTGCAGGAAGGGATATGCTTCGGATACGTTCTTGTTTTTATATCTCTAGAAGGAATCAAGTTCTTTTTCGTACATCAACGTTGAAGCCGTGCATCGGACAGGGTGCAAACTTTAGCTCTGTAGATTGCCCTCTGATGAAGGACAACATATCTAGGCTCAATTCGGGTTCTTAAGCTTATAACAGGGAAATAAATGCAAGTGAAACTTGATCAGTAATACAAATGACCAAAGTAGGCCAGGTTTAGTAATCCGGGAATCCTTGATAACTCTCCCGAATATGATGATACGTATTTACGGCACTTGAATTAGCCTTTAGCGCACGGGTAAGGCAGGTGATCATCGACCTCGGCACTTGCGTAAGTCTCCGAATGACCGCAACGTATAAATAATCATGGTTTTATCTATGCAGTGTTGACTTGGTTCCAGGTTGCTCAGAACGCAAGACAACCACAGTCGCTCCAATCTTCAAATTACTTTTACTTGTTCCATGCCTTTGCCACTCTGATCTCTTCTTTACGCATCCTTCTGGATACACACAATGCCTCGGATCATAAGTCACGTCTCCGGCGCACAATGGGAGAAGGACGGCCCGCAGTCACCGACCCAGAAGTTCTTCAAGCAATATGTCAATGCCGTTGATTCGAGGGGCTACGACAGCGGCTCTGGGCTCAAGTTCTACTCCAAGGATGTGACCTTCCACAACCAGAACAACGCCGTCTACCACGGAGGAGATGAAATGTGGGCGTGGATGAAGAAGCTTTTCGACGTGTTTGAGCGCATCCAGCACGACTGGATACACTTTGTGGAGATTGAGCGTGATGATGGGACTAGCCAGATATACACTCAGAATGTTCGGAACCTTTGGCTTCGCGGGAACAAGGAAAGCAGGCCGACAGTTAGCATCCCCATTACGATGATTGCTATTATCGGGAAGAGTGGAAGCGACGAGACTCCGGAGGGGCTACATTTTAAGGAGGTCTGGCTCTACTGGGACACGGCCCTTCTTTTGCCTCATCTCCCTAAGGATGCTGTAGTTTTTAAGACAAAGAACGTCTTGCACGGGGATAAGGATTTGAATCAGGAGTAAGGATTCTATGGCAGTCTTATCACCTAATACCGCGCCGCTGCTTGTCTGATAGCTTTCCGTGCCTATGTCGCCATGTGAGGTCAATGTAACAATAATTGTTACTATTATTATTATTCATGACGCCTTGATATAGAATATGACCAAAGAAAGTATACAATCTTTCATGTCGCATCTAGAGCAAGCCGAAAGACCTGTTGAATGCCATTCTGACACTGCTTATGCTGCGAATGTGCTCATTTTACTTTTATGCCTTATGAATTTATCTCGACAGTTACGGGGAAATACAGTAAATATCACTATAGTACACTATTTCGCCATTCATTCCGCCCATTTGGTGCGAAATAGACCTACTCGGCGTGCTATGGCAATGACTAACAATATCTCCACTAAACAACAGTTTCATCCCGCAATGTCTTCTGCAAATTTTACAATGTCGTCTAAGAGACGGTCCGAATAAGCGAGCACGAGCACTAAGTGGTTCAGGTTAGGGGGACTCATACCCGCACAACCGGCTGTGCGTTTAGTATCACGTGTTTTTCGCATAACCGGTTATGCAGATAAGGCCACGTAAGCTTCTTTAGTCAAATCCGCATAACTGGGGGACCATCAGTCAATTCATCTTCCTATTATATTTACATCACTAATAAAGTAATTACCGACTTTCTGCTTTATAATTTAACTTTATTTATATAATTAGTATTTAAATAAGTAATATTAAGCTCTTAGTCCCTTCTGCTGCTGATAAATTAGTAAGATAATAGCCTAATAATGTTCTTCCCCTAGAGGTATTATATCTATTATAAGAAGCCCTCCTTATAGATATTAATAAGTAGGTAAAGGCTTAAGGATATGCCTTTATAATAAGGCATATAATATATATAGCAAATAGAAGACTATATATATACTTTAGCTGTAACTGCAGCAGAGGTAAATATATACTAATTCCTGATTCTAAGAGGAAGAGGAAGTATACCACTTAATACATAGGGTATAAGTTCTCTATAATAGGAAAAGAGAGCCTCTGTAAGAGTAAATAGAGTCTTTGATATTATCCTAATCCCTCTTACTCTCGTTATAATTATAAGCCTACTATTAGAAGTAGTATTATATATATAACTTACTAAAAGCTTTCTAATAAAGATATCCTTATAATTAAAAAGCTTACTCTTACTGGTATTAAATAATGCCAAATTAAGACCTACCTACTGCAGAATACAGAGGTATTATTTATTAACTTGGATCTTACGAATTATATTTCTCGAGTAAAGTAAGACCTTACTAATAGACAGAGCCATATGGTTACTCTGCTTTAATATCTCGATTTATAGGGCTTCTAGAGTTATTACCTTATTAAAAAGGACTCTTAATTATAGTTAGTTATATTTACTTATCTAGAATTACTCTAATTCGCTAAGTTATACCCTAAGGTACTTATAGTTAATTATACCTATAAGACTAATAAGTATAAGATACCTCTTCTTAATATAGTTAGTATTAATGCCATAGGGAGCACCTTCTATATTATATTTATATATCTCAGTAGCAAGGAAGAGGAGGACTTTACCTAGGCTCTTAGGGCATTATAAGATTTATATAATACTAATAATATTCCTTATCCTTTAGTTATACTAACTAATTAATATCTTGCTTATATAAATGCTATTATATCCCTTCTCTGCTTTCTAGTATTAAAGGTTATGCTCTGCCTTTAGTATATTAATAGAGTAGTCCTAACCTTCTATATAAGTGGCTTTACGAAGGGTAAGGATAATAAAGAGGGATAAGAGGCATAGAAGGAATTCTATAATAGTTAGTATATACTTATAGCCTTAAAGTCATAGGCTATATATAATAAGAGACTAAAGGTCTTTCTGCTTTAGTATACTTATTTATATCTAAAGGAGGTAGATTACCTTTTCTTAACCTGGCTAAACCCCTATAAGGGTAAGTTTATTAAGGCATTTATAAATAAGTATCTATATCTAAACTAATTTATTATATCTTAAGTAGAAGGTATTTATTCCCTATTTAAGTCTTATCTAAAAAGCTCTAAGGCTAACCTCTTTAAGGCTTTTTAAATTATTAAGCTAGTAATTATAAACCAGCTAACTATATTAAAATCTGCATAGGCTCTTAAACAAGCAATAAGACCTACTTAGCGCGCTTAAATATTATTAGAAGCTCTATATAGCCAAGTCTGCGGTTAGATATCTTATAAGGCATTAATTATAGTTAATCTGCAGTAAGAATAGATAGGAGAGAGTCTCCCTTAATATACTAGGAGTTTCTTAAAGACTATAGGTATACCTTATGCTTACGCCCTTATGCTATTAATCCAGGGAAATAAGCCCTTATTAATAAGCTATTTCTATTTATATTAGTATCTCTAGCAATCTAAGATACTGCTGCTAATATTCAAGCCCTATAAGGTTAATAATTGCCGTATAGCCTTAAAGTCATAGCCAGCATTAAGTATACGGCGAGATTTATATGTATTTAAAGGAGTTAAAAAGGCACTACTTCCCTTAGTGCCCAGGAAGCCATAGACCTGCTCTTAATATTATAAGTAAGGTCATAATAGAAACTTAAGGCTATACCCTAAGAAGTATATTAAAATGGCAACAGAGCTTAATAATATAAAAAGAGAATAAGATCTTATTATAAAAGAGGTTATAGTTATAAATATATAGAGCAGGTCTATATCTCCTGCTACTACCGCAGCCTTAATACTATAGATAACCCTAACCCTAACCTACTACTACCTTCAAGAGCCTATATATTAAGTATATATAAAGTATAAGGAATCTTGCAAGGCATAGTTTAACTAGCAGCCCCCTGGTACCTCTCTTACCGACTATACCTTTAGAGAAGCTATTAGACTGCCTTTAGAGTATAATGCAGTTAGGTATTAGTAGTACTAGAGGTTAGAGTAAATAGGGCCCTTTATTAAGCTTTATAATAGCTTTAAACTAAGAGATTAGATATTAAAAGAGATATACAGCTAGCTTAATAATAATAACAGATCTAATAATAATACTAATTAACTAGAAATATAGCTTTTAGGAGCAGAAGGCCCTAGCTATATATCTTAGCAAGGACCTATAAGTTATATATTATTACAGCTGCAGCAGGGAGGCAATCTAATTCTCCCGGCAAGATAACTAAGCAGTTAGGCAGCCTAATACTAAATAAGATACAGAGGGATAATAGTTAATTAAGAGCTATATATAGATAGAGTAAATTTCAGCGAATTTAATAATATAATTATTATTACTTAATAATAGCTCTTTGCAATTAAAGTGCCTCTTTTTATTTCGTAGTATTTATAATAATTAAGAGTTAATAAAATCAGAGTATATAAAATTATTAATCCTTACAAATTAATTATCCTAGTTAGAATACTTATACTTATAACTAGCTACTTATACCTAAGAAGGATAATATATATATTATTAAATTAAAAGAAAAAAGCTAAATTAATTAATATATATCTTAATACCTTAATCTGCTAGATTCTAATATTATTAGCAAGTAAGAAGATAGTATAGGGTTAGATATAGAGAATTAAATCGCATATATATAAGTAAATAGATTAA